ATCAAACAGCTCTGGTACATAATCCATGTCACCTTTTATGTTCAAGCTCATGATCTTGAACTTGACCCTGCTCTTTAGACCATCCAGCTTGTCATTGGACTCTGGAGGCTCCAAAAACTTGAAAATATTTCTTAGAGATGACTTCTATTTTGAACTTAAAATAGAAGTCATGTTTTTTGGAGTATATATGCTTGCTTTTAGTGGTCAACTTTAGTGTTTTCTGATCTGTATTTAGAATGTATCACTGCTTGCAGTGTTTTCAATCACTTGCTTGACGATAGCCCATTGCCTGCTAACGAGACTTCTTCATCAGTGCTTGTTGCAACCTTTTCCAGTACACACTCACTAAATGGAAAAGGATCTACAGGAGGTGGAAAACTGAGCGGAAATGGTGAAGTAGAGAAGGGGCTGCTGACGCTAATTTCCTCAGATGCTCCTGGACTTCAGGTGTTGTAACCTATATTTGGACTTTTTTTTATGATCAGTAGGTAGGTTGCAACAATATGTACTAATTTCCTGGATTCCTTTTTAACTGCTTATACATTTTTTCTACATTTCAACCAAATCATTTTTGGAATTGTAATGCTTCAACACTTTGTTTTCTTTGATTAATTATCCACCAGTTCTTTCCTATGATTTCCACGTTTGTGACCCCAATGGCCGCTGGTACCTGGCTGATAGTGGCTCTGTTCCTAGGGACCTTTTACTTCTCACAGGCAAGGCTCTCAGCCATGCTACAGCTGGTCTGAGGCCTGCGGCTTCACATCGCTCTGCATTGGATAGGCATTTCGAGCAATGAGAGCTCGTGGAGCCAGAGTAATAGACATTGCTGTTATTGTAGTTGCTACTGATGTTGGAATTCGACCTCAAATAGAAGAGGCCATTGCTCATGCCAAAGCAGCTGGAATGCGAATTGTTATTGCTATAAACAAAGTGCGCTTGCATTTATTCTGAGATTTTCCACTGTGTGTTGGCTTGTATATCATTTAGTCTCATTTGCATTCTGCTTTTGATGTATGAAACATGATGACAAATCTCCTCTTGCTTATGGGAGTTGGCATTTTCAGTTCTCATAATCACAATACTGCTAAAGTTTGATGTTTCTAGATTTTTGCATCATAGCATATTATCTTATATGCATTCTGTTCTTTGGGATAATTTTAAAAGTCCTTTGGGTTTCTGATTGACGGAATGTATAGCAGGGAGCATTACCTACAGGTTGCTTCTATCTCAAAAAAAAAAAAAACTCCTGACAATTAAAAGTGTCAGCATAGAATTCGATATTCTAATGTTGTATAATACCTATCCTGACACTTTCAATTATCAAGAAAAGGGATTGTTGTTGGCAGATGGGATGTTATAATAGCATAGTTTTCCTGACATGTTGAATAGTATGAGTCTATCCCCACATTGGAAGGGACAACACTCGCCCTAGGTGTGAGGATAGATAAAGTGTCAGGTTAGATTATCTATACTGACACTTTTAAATGCCGTTAAAGGCCATTTTTGTTGTAGTGAACCCTCAATTTTCTCAATCATATGTAGTCTGCTAAAGATTCAAGCTACAAGTGAGCTACTCGGGAGCAGCTCGATGAATGGTTTGACTCGAGTTTGAGTAACTCATTTTGTCAAATTGAGTTGAGCACAAGCCTTAGAGAAGGAGACTCGAGTGCTCGACGAACTTATTCAAGAAATTAGGTTTTTTAAATTTAAAAATAATATGTGTGTGTGTGTGTGTGTTACACTTATAAGTATAAAAGTTGTGAAATTTTTCACTAAAAAATTGAGTTCAAGTTCAAATGGCTCGGAAGGATCTTCGAACTCAATTGAATCGAGCTTGAACTTATAAACTATTTGTTTAAGTCGAGTTTGAACTTAAGAATCTTTAATCATTTGAGTTTGAGCTTGACCTCAAATAGTACTAACAATGATCGAGTTCAATTTCAAATGTGACACTACTTGAACTCGAGTCGGTTGGAATGCACCCCTAATGATATATATATATATATATATATATATATATATATATATATATATATAACACTTGAGCTTGCACAACTTTTCAAACAGCAACATAGATCACAACAAAGACAAAGTTACAGCTTCTTTCTCCAATTTTACAGTGCATCCAGCCTAGCAAAATGCGGTCTTCGAGGGGAGTCTGGTACAGCAACAAGAAATAAAGAAACCACAATGGATTTTTTTTTTTTTTTTGTTAGTTTCTCTGCGAATATATTAGTATCATCATGAATTAGTAAATAAAATTCTAAAATTGTTCATATTTTAGATGCTATAGCACATACTAACAAGTTGTAGCTCTGATTAAGGTTTGAAATGCAACGATAGTAGACTTTAAGGAAACAAATAGAGATACAACTAAAGTAAATTTATTTTCCCAAAGGATCATTTTTTTTCAAGTTTGACACCCCCAATCTTGTAATTTCTTTCCCAAAGCCAACAGACGGTTCAGGACAAAGAAGCATGTTGGAGCAAGTTCGCAAACATTATCCAGTTAGTAAGTTTAGTGGACTATGACTTGTTTTGTTATAGAATTAGTTGGCAGGGGATTCTAATCCCGGCTGAGGTAATCTGATTAGTTTTGGATTTGGTTTTGTTGGTCAATTCATCCAGCTACAAATAATGATGGTATCCTTGTAATCCTTTAAATTCCTATCACTTTACTTTTTGGTGTCTGTATAATATCCTTGTAATCCTTTCAAACATGCATTTAAGAATAAAGACTCTTATTGACTAGTCGGCAAATAGATGATGGATGCAATTTGATTTTGGCCCTAAATTACAGAACTTTTGAGCTTGGAGGGCTGAATTAAGAATCCTTGCTACTTTGAACATGCAACGTAGCATTAGCTTGCAACTATGACTGTTGGCTAGACCGAGTTTATCAAAGGAATGCCAATTAGCCAAAGATTATTACCACCGAAGTATCTAAAACGTATCTTCTGTTTTTGTGGACCACTCCCCCCCCCTCTCCTCTCTCTCTCTCTCTCTCTCTCTCTCTCTCTCTCTCTCTCTCTCTCTCTCTCATACCCTTTCCAAACTCAAGTGTCAGATTCAAAATTCAAACCCTAAAACTAGCAGTGGAAAACCATCCTCTAGTCAAAACTTCAAACTTCAATTCTTTTTTTTTTTTTTAAGTAACCAATGAAAAATAGAATGATCCCAGCCCCACTTTATCGATTATTGGTACCTTCATTTTGGCAGGGACCGCACAAGTTTCATTCAGTTGTAAGCGCTAGAATTGGATTTAGAAAAGTCAGCCATCCACAAACGTCATGAAGGTCGTCCGAGTTTTTCACTAAATGGACCGCTAAATTTATCCATTTTGGAGGTATATCATCCTTGGAAATTAGGCCAAAATTTGTGCTAGCGAATTGAATCCAAGCGTCTTTTTAAGTGAAATGTCCAAGTTTTATCAACTGAGGAATTACAGTAGATAAAACGTTTAAAACAATAGGTAAAAGATATTTAATACATCTTATACCTGAATACCATCACCGGTATGATCCCACTACTCCCAATTACCATGAACAAATACGGGATGATGGAGCACATCTTTTTTTCAACCCAATGGGTTTACATCTAATAGCCAAATGTATGTGTACTAAGAAATTAAGAATACAAAATCCCCAATAACTTTGAAGACTTCTGTCCCTCGATCCTTTGTTATGATGATTAACAAGTCAAAATGATGATTTGAACTAATATTTTCCGATGAGAATTCTGATAGAACAGGTGCTCAATCACTAGGGAAAAAAGAAAAGAAAAGCTAGAAGAAAGGAACGGTGTCGCAATCTGTTGGACGCAGCTTCAAACACACCTTGGAGGATTGGACGTACAAAGCAACCTTTCAAGGAACGACATCCATCTTCGGACACACTTTTGAACACAAGAAACAAGGGTCGGCTGTCCAAACATGGAAGAGCAAATATCAATCTTGATTGAATGAATCTCTCGGACAATTGGCATCCCTATCGACCATTCGAAAATTCAAAAGCCAAGTTGGAATCCTCTGGTCATCCGTCGGATGGACTTTTGGACAAAGGAGAACTTGCATTGGTCATCCGGACTTCTACACAACAAAGCTTCTCATCCTTGATTGAACGATTGTATCGAACGCTAGCATAACGATCAGAAATATGATAGTTTCAACGGCTAGTTTTTTCTGCATTAAATGCTTTATTATTAGAGGGCATTTTGGACCAATTTTTGGGATCCTATAAATACCATAAAGTCTAAACTTATTAGAAATTTTGTCTACATCAATTATAAGCTCTCTAGAGTAATTTTGGCTAAAAAAATACTCTCTTTTGTTCACTTGTAGTTTTTTATGAGGTTGAAAAGCTTGTAAAATTCTTCATTGTAATTGTGAGCAATTCAATTTTAGCTTGGAAGTGTAAAACCTTTGACTCAATTAAGGAGAGATTAATGCGAGTAAAGGTAATCATTTATTTGTAAAAGTGGCATTGTTTCGCCAATTTGAAGAACTTTTTTAATGGATCAACTTCAATCTTGGAGAAGATTGGAAGTGTACCTTGGTATCATTAGAGTACCATTTCATTTGGTTTACTTTATTTTAATATATTGCTCATTTAGGTGCTATACTTGCCTCATCTTTATTGTTTTCTACTTACTCATAGTTTGTGATCATTTAGATAAATTTGGTTAGTTAAAATTAGATAAAATCTGCCATAACTTATCTAGTTTTTATACAACTTAATTCACTCCTCCTCTTAGATTACACTGGACACTTGCAAAGTTTATAAGAGAAGTGACAACAATTTTTATTTCATGACGAATTGAGCTTACCTAAAAAATTTTCACTCAAGTCTCTTTCAAGCACAAGACTCCAGAATAAGGAATTAGGACAGATTCCTTCTAGGCCACAGGCGTCTAATATGGTGCGACAGAAGGACGCCACAGAAAAGAGTAGAAGACCCATGCAAGTCTTTCAAGTCTAATTTCATTTGTGATATATGGGGTCAAATAAAACAGCAGCTACACAAGACTTTTTCGTAAGGTTCACGTAGCCTTATCCTTTCAAATCTTTCTCCGAATCTCAATCATATATATGACACTAGAGCTTGTACAAGTTTTGAGACTGCCACATAGAAATAAACAATGACGAGCAAGACTTTTGCTTCTCCTATGTTCATCTTCTTTTGGCTTTTGATGATTTCCATCATTTTAGTCCAACCCGCTCTCTCTGGACGGACGCTTGGCAGCAGCGGTAAGTATACACTTCTTTCTTATTGACAGTTTTTTTTTAAATTGCTCAGCAGTGAGTTTGCTTTAATCGAAAACATTCATCTAAATTTGATACACTTACTATAAACTATGATGATGGTAGTATAAATCATTGATGCATGAAAGTTGTTGATTTGGGAATTAGATTAGAAAGAAATTGAACTATTTTCCTCGTTCTCTCTAGAACTTCTCCTATCAAAATCTCCTCTGCCTTTTTCACGGAAGAGAGATCAGATAAATTTGGTCTTTTCCCATAAAAGGGAGTCCACTCTTTAATATTTTAGTTTTTGTCATAGTAATAAATTCTCTTCTAGAGTTTTCTAATGACATATTCTTCTCTTATAGGATCTCCCAGTGAGAGTTTCTTCTTCCCCAATTTCTTCTAATGAAAGTTTTATTTTCCCCTTGATTTTTTTCCTTATGAGATTTTTTTTTTTCAATTTTTTTCATTTTCTGTGAAACTTGAGATTTTGTAGATCTAATTTTTCACATTTGCAATTTCTCCATTTATTATTATCGAATTTAAACTTCTCGTTGAAGTTGAACTAATATTTAATCATATCTCTTGCTATAAGAAAAATGCACAAATTTATTGGATTAAAATGATTTATCTGGATGGGAGACATGATATATTGGAGCATTAATGTTATATTTATTTATATTAATTTTTCAAATCTATTGTATCTATTAATTTCATACCTATATGTATTTGTGTCACATTTGATTTGATGTATTTCTACCATTAATGCAGATTCAATAATCCTTTCTATCAAAAAAGAATACAAGGAAATTGACGTGGATGTTGCCCTTTTGATATTAATATCTCATTTTATTATGGCAGTAATTTTTTGTATTTTGGCAGGTGGTGACGCCACGATTGGAATCATTCCAGGTGGTCCTCCCAAGGCAACTGGTACAAGTTCTCCTACTAACTCTGCTCCTAAAGCTGTAGGCCGTGGACCCATAGGTTATGGGCCATTACACAGGCCTCCAATTTGCAACAGACCGTTTTACAGTGGCTGCATCATCCCACCAAAAAGACGATGTAGTTATTATAACCGTTGCCGACCCCCACTCCCACCAAAATAAAGTTGCCAATCAAAGTGGACTCGACCCGATCAACCCCTACTAATAAAGTTGGACTGATACTGCTCCAACCGCAGCTAAGCTCATATAATACCGAGCCGACGCAATGGAAATATACGTATGGATAAGACGTTTTGGGAATGTTTTTAAAAAAGTTTACAATAGTGTGAAAAACTTTTAATGTAGATGATTAGATAGTGTGAAAAACTTACTGTCATATTATATTTAAAATATTTAATTATGAAAAAACGGTAAATTCGTATAGACCTACGTTTCAAGTGTTTGTAAAAAATTTAAATATATGAAGAGATTGTATATGTGTTGATTGTAATTTAGTAAATTCGTACACATGCATAAGCTCTCAAACTACTTATTTTACTAAATCATTCTTCATGATAATATTTGGCCTTCACATTTTTCTATCTGTAATGGATAAAATGTGTTTTGCCAAGAGCTCTTGTAGTTTGGTCCGTCATAAGTACACCTAATGGTGATATAAATCAAGTTTAGGGTTTATATTCTGAACCTAGAAGAGGAGACAGCTTTATCTAAAATATGAAATTTCTCCTTTGGTCCAAACTTAAACTTTGTGAAGTTTGGTCATAAATTCCAATTGACGTTGGTAACTGGATGAAATCTCGGCATGGGTACATCTTATTGACCATACGATTCACTTTGGTACTACTTTTTATTTTTATTTTTTCCTTTTTTCTCTTGTAGACCGTTTTAATTTGTAAAAGTTTCATTGATGCTTATTCATGCTATCAGCAATAGCTATGACAGTCAAATCACATAGACTATCTATCTATCATACTTATAACTATATGTTATACCAAATTAAAGAACTATTATGACTAAATGACGGGGGAATTTGGAGTTAGGTAGGATTAACTCTCCCTCTTTTAGGCTTCTTGCTAATTTACTTTGCTGATTCCCTTTCATTTGGATTAAATTTGCATAAATTTTTCTCTTTGATAATTACTTTGTCCTGCAAATGGAAAAGTATGCAAGAATATTGAGTATATTGGCATCCATTTGAGTTTTCAGTGTGCAAGTTTGCAAACTGTTTATGTTGGTTCAGGACAAGTATTTTGTTATTGGTGAAGGAATTTTAATATGCATATCTGGTTGCATGGCAGCATCTTTACTGCCAAAACTGTGCTTCGTAATGAGTTCAGAAAATATTCATACCAATAAAAAAGATAAAGAAAAAAAAATCTCACTTTAATTGATTTACTATGCCAAGTGGTACACAGGTCACGTTCATTCATTAGTTTCTCCAGTAATGGTCCATTACGTTCAGTTAAAGTAGCTTTGAAAACTAAGAAACTACTCGTTATAGAAGAAGAAGAGATCCAAATAGTGATGTCCATCTTTTTCTTATTTTGGATATTTATTACCCTTGTAATTCAATTTAACTTAAAGCATAGAACATGCAGAAATTAAGAAGAAGTACCACTTGCCCTTTTCATTAGTTTGTATGTCACGGTTTTCTTTACAAATTGAAGTTGAATAATTGAGTTTCTATGGCACTGTTCTTGATTGTTTTAGACTTTACAAAATCTGATTATAGAAATTAATGATAAGCAAAAACTACTTTTTTGGGTGATTATGGATTTTAACTTTTTAGTGATGAGAAAATTCATGATCAGAAGACAAAAGTAATCGAGAATATTACAAAAATTGATTATTCAAAATCAGAATCTATAATCAGTTAAAATAATCGATCGAAAGAACAAGTGATAGAAAGCGAATTGGTTTGCATCCAAGTCCTTCGTCTTCCGGCCCTTTTGCCACCGGCAAAGGTGCTCCTAACTCGGGCGCAGCCGACGGGCGCTTTGTCTAATAATCGCAAGATATTTTTCTTATGGTGCAATTAATATTTGCAAACCACAAGGCGTACAAGCAAATCCTTACATACAAGGGTGTCCTAACATACAAGGGTGCAGTTCAATTACTCGTTGCCGAAATACATATTATTCCTTAAAGCCGAGTGCTGTTTTGCCGACAAATTTTGGTAGTAAAGTATTCCTGAGATGATATACTTATGATTTTTATTTTGAAGGAATGATGAATTAATTGTTTATTTCTTTTACCTTTTCTAATAAGGTCAGTTGCGTATTCTTTAAGGGTGATTGCACGTTTCCATTTTTCAGCTTTCATGGCCAATTGAAATTGAATTACGCACCCTTTTTTTGCCAAGATACTAATGTTGGGAAAGATTAAGTTGCACCAGTATCATGTGGTCTCAAAGGAAAATCTGAAATTGAAATAAGATATCCCTAGAAAATGAAAAAATACAAAAATCTTCATAGGAATCCTTAGATGAACCGAAAATTCTCACTAAAAATTTTTAGGAGAAATGGAAAATTCTTACGAAGAAAATTTAGGAAAAACTTTATTAGAAAAACAAAAAAAAAAAAAAAAAACAAAATCCATGGATTGGTCTTTCTTCTGAAGAAGGCTTTTTGAGAAGAGGTGAAAAAATAGAGAGAAGTTAAGATAGAAAGAGAAGTGACTGCAATTTTAGCAGAAGCCCATCCTTATTGAACTAAGACATAAAAGACGAAGCAATAAATTCACTGTTTGGTTGTCTAACACATTTAAGTGATGGAATCAACTTACAACTCTTTTATTTACATAGAGTTTTTGTCGGACAATATAAATCAAGTTTAGTAATTTGTTTATTTGGTTATATGTTAGTTGAGGCCATGTGTCATTAATATATTGGTTAGTACAATAAGTTGCATTGTGAATTAGAAAAGTTGGCTACATTGTATTTGGCCCATAATATTAGTAATAGAAGTGAGCCAATAAGGGATTAGTATTGTTGCCTCCGTTTTAGTTTGAAGAATCAGTAGCCTCGTTGTTTCCTTTTTCTTGTATTGTACAGTAGCCGCAGCCTCGTTTGATTAGTCAAGAAATTTCCTTTGCCTCGTATATCAAATTTTTTGTGATGGTTCCTGTGGATTTATGTTTGATTATTATTTTGGGTCCATCAGAGTGGTATCAAAGTTACGGTAGATTGGAGTATGGTAAACCCTAATTTTAACATTATTTGTTCTATTCAAAAACTCAAAACAAAGGTGAAATTTAATTTTTGACCAAAACAGATGATAACCCATCTCAAGGCATGTAAATTAATTGATATATTGAATCAATTTTTGAAAAAATTACTACGGCTGACTCAGCAAAGGAGAGTTGGGATATATTGGAAAAGACATACAAAAGGATTAACAGGATCCAACAAAATAATTTGATGATGTTAAAAAGGAAATTTAAACTTGTCTATTGAATCATATTTTTCTCGTTTGTCAGATATTAGAAACGAGATCGCACTTAATCAATGTGACGTTCTTGCCAGAACATTTATTGTGAAAGTTCTCAACACCCTATCCATGAATTTTAATCATATAGTAGCTGTGATTCAGGAGATAAAGATTGGGAAAATTTTAAGTATTGAAGAATTGCAGGAATCATTAATTCTATATGAGCAAAGAATGAATAAAAAGTTGGAAAATACCCTGGAGAAGGATATAATAGAGAAGGTATTACAAATGCAGTTACATTTGAGAGGTAATAATGAAGCAAATGAGCAAAGTGAATTCAGTCAGATGAATCCAAGCTACAATAATAGAGGTGGCTAAAATATCAAAGGTGGTCGTGGCAACAATAATAGAGGCAGAGGAGGTACATCAAATCTTGGACGCGATAGAGGTAATAATTTTAATCTTAAAGGTGGTTATGGTAGAGGCAGAGGTGGTAATTTTGGCAAAGAAAATAATTTTAATCAGTATAATTTTTAAAATAATTTTGGACAGAGAATTTAATGTTATAATTGTGAAAAATGGAGCCATAGACAGTTTAAATATAGATTTTGAAAAATTATAGACCGAAATTTTTAGATTAATGTTACTGACAATCAGGTTCGGGATAATAATAAAAAATCTAAATTTTTATTATTAACTTGTAATATTGTTGATGTGGTTGATAAAAAAATGGTATTTAAATATGGGTTACAGCAATCATATATCTGGCAAGAAAGAATTATTTTTTGAGATTGACGAATCTGTCGACGGTGAAATTAAATTTGGAAATAACATTATTTTACTAGTGTTTGGCAGAGAAAAAATTCCTATCAGTTTAAAAAATGGGTCTACTAATTTTATTTCTGATGTTTTCTATGTTCATGAGCTGCATCATAATTTGTTGAGTATGGATCAATTGTCTAAGAAAAAAAATATGATATTCGTATTAGGAATGGTACTTACCCCATTTTTAATAAAAAAAAAATATTAAAATGATTGCCAGTGTGTCAATGACTTCAAATCGCTTATTTTCACTGAAATTGAGTACTACCAATTTTTCTTGTTTAAGTACTGATAGATGACAATAATTGGTTTTGACGGTTTGAGATTTTTGGCTAATAGAAAAATGATTAGTAGGCAGCCTAGTATTAGAAATTCTGGTAAAGTTTGTAATATGTGTGTTTTGAAAAAACAACACATGGTTGTCTTTCAGACAGGCAAATCCTGAAGGGTTAGAAGACCAATGAAAATTATTCATTCATATTTGTGCACTGTGAAAGTTTCTTCTAATGGTGATTGTAGATATTTTATTACCTTTATTAATGATTTCTGTAGAAAAGCCCGGGTGTATTTTTTGAAACAAAAATCTGATGCCTATGACACTTTTAAAATTTTTAAGACTTTTGTTGAGAAGCAAAGTGGCTATTAGATTAAAATTTTGAGAACTGATAGGGATCAGGAATATTTGGTGTGTGATGATTTTCTTGAGAAAAATGGAATATAGCATCAGTTGACTATTAGGTACACTTCACAACAAATGGAGTGACAAAGAGGAAGAATAGAACTGTTATAAATATGGTAAAATCTATGTTGAAACTGAAAAATATGCCAAACTCTTTTTGAGTAGTGGTAGTTTTGGTACAATTTATTTGTTGAACATGTGAACTTTCAGAAGTGTTCTCGAAAAAACTCCTGAAGAAGTTTGGAATGGTAGAAGACCTTTTGTTGGCCATCTCAAAGTTTTTGGGTGTATTATCTATTCCCTTGTTCTTGATCAATTAAGGAAAACACTTGATGATAAGGCGAAGAAATGTGTATTTATTGGCTACAGTGAAGTTTTCCGAGCTTATAGGTTATATAATCTTTTGACAGAAAAGGTGATAGTGAGTAAAGATGTGGCCTTTGACGAAAGAGGTGTTTGGGACTGGTCTACTGAAAATTCTAATATAGCAGAGGTAACTGTGAAGACTGATATTTTTTTTCTCAATTTAGTCATTTTATAATTATTTGCCCTAGTGTTAGTTAATTATATTTTAGTTGCATGAATTTCTTTTAAATT